ATTCCTGTGTATTCCATCTGCTGAAGTCCAGGTATATAACTGCTGTTTATGTTGTTGAAAAAGGGATTTGCAATGAATACGTCATTGGTCTTGCAAAATTCTATCATGTGATCTTTAGCATTATTTCTGTCACCAAGGCAAAAATTTCTAACTACCAGTGATTCTTCTTTGTTTCCAACTTTTGCATTCCAGTCACCAGTGATAATTAACACATCTTGATTGCATGTTCAGTCAATTTCTGACTGCAAAAGCTGATAAAAATCTTCAATTTCCTCATCTTTGGCTTTGGTGGTTGGTACATAAATCTGAATAATAGTAGTATTAACTGGTCTTCCTTGTAGGTGTATGGATATTATCCTATCACTGACAGCATTGTACTTCAGGACAGATCTTTTTTTATATTTTATTTTAAGAGCTTGTTTTACATTCAACATTATGGATATATTTAGTTTCACTCCCCATTCACCATGTCCAATCCTAACCCAGTCCCCTCCCTACCTTGTAACCCTCCACCTGTGCCCCTCATATTTATGCATTCCTGTTTGTTGTGCATTTCCTCAATTTGAATGTTGGTCCTCTGGTGTCCCATGGTCTATTGCTCTAAGGGATGTATTACTATAGAATATGTGGGTGTGTCATCCTTGGATGAGTGTTCTGTGTGTACATCTTGTTAACTATTGGGCTGAGAGCCAGCCCTTGGGGGTGCATTTTATTTCAGGCACAGAATGTATTCCAGGGCCATAGTATTGGGGTCTCATCAGATTTCATCTGACCAGCAATTGTGGTCATTACTGAGTTTTGGGATTTTGTTCCACATTTTCCCTCCCATTTTATCCAGGATCTCCAGATTTGATCCTTTCCTGAGTGGTTGACATTGGTAGCGGGGCACCATCTATTTCTTCTGGTCTCAGGAACCATCATGTCCTATGGCTGATTACTTCCAAATGCCCCCTTTTTTTTTCATTCTTTTTCATTTCTGATGCTAGGAGACTGTTAGCTGCATGTTAGATGGTCACTGGAAATCTTTTAAAACCCCAGTCACTACTCACCAATGTAGGATGGGGAACAAGGCTTTTATGTATTTTGTTGTACCGATTGAGTCTGGTGTCTCCCAGTACTATGGTCCTGAGATGGATCTCTCTCCCATAGTGTATGGTTGTCTGTGAGGGATTACTCTGTGTTTGTCTTCTATTGTTTCTGTAAGGATGGCAAGTATTTTGTATCTCTGGTGTCTGTGCAAGATTAGCCTCAGCTGAATCTATCCCTGGTCTAGAGTATACTCCTGTTCACTGACCCCCATCTGATCTTCTCAGGTGTTTATGTGTTTATCTGTAGCCTGGAGTTTGGTGTTAATGGTAATGCAGTATTGTGGAACATTGGTTGGTATTAGCATCTGTTATCTATCTCTTATGTGCACAATTAGGTTTCCTTCCATTTCCTAATGTTATCATGGTGGTCACAGATCCTTTCTGTATATCCCTCCCCTTACCCACGTCAGCGTGTGGGCACCAACTAGCCCAAAATTAATCCCTCCCTTTGCCTCTCCGTCCCAGTAACCTACAAAGTGAGTTCCCTTTCCCAAGCAAACCCTTCTTTGTCTTTTTACAGTAATGGGCTCATAAAGTACTTGTCTTTCTGTGATTGACTTATTTCACTCAGCGTAATGTCCTTCAGGTTCATCCACATTGTGAGATGATTCACGTATCCCTCATTGTTCTTTAATGTAACACAGTATTCCATTGTGTGCATGTACCATAATTTGGTTCTCCACTCATACGTTGATGGGCATTTACGTTGTTTCCATCTCTTTGCTATAGTGAATTGTGCTGTGATGAACATAGGTGTACATGTGTCTGTTAGTGTGCTATCTCTTGCCTTTTTAGGATATATTCTTAGTAATGGAATTGCTGGGTCAGATGGTACTTCTGCTTTCGTTTTTTTAAGGAATTCAGGACAGATATTGAAACATTCTTTGTGATGATGAATGCCACGCCATTCCTCTTCAAATTGTCATTCCCAGCATAGTAGATCATATGGTTGTCTGATTCAAGATGGCCCAAACCAGTCCATTTCAGCTCACTAATGACGAGGATATCAATCTTTCTGTGTTCCATTTCATTTTTGACAACTTCCAATTTTCCTAGATTCATACTTTGTACATTCCATGTTCCTATTATTAATGGATATTTGCAGCTGTTTCTCCTCAATTTGAGCCATACCGCATCAGCAAATGGAGGTCCCAAAAGCTTTCTTTATTTTATCCATATCATTAAGGTTGGTTCTACTCTGATGAGGCAGCTCTTTCCAAGTTGTATTTTGAATGCCTTCTAACCTAACAGGCTAGTCTTCCTGCACTGTATTGGACAATGTTTCCAGGCTATTCATAAAGTTGACCAGTAATGTATCAGACAGTGTTTCTCTGCTATTCATAAGGTTTTCCCTGGCCAATTCTTTGAGAAGTGGATGCCCCCCTCCTTCTTCCTAGTCTGTCTCTGTCTGTAAGCTGTGTTGAAGCAGGAGCACCATGTGCAGCCCTGCTGGTGATTGAAACACTGGCAGCACAGCCTTGAGCCTCACGGCAATGCACAAGCCAAAACAGTATGACAAACTGACAGACAAGTTCATCTCCCTTAGTTGTTGGAAACCTCTCAACCCTCTCCTTACCTAATTCCTACCTGTGTCCTGTCAGTGGGTCCTGCCTGCCACCTCTTACCTGATTCCTGCCACTTTTTGTCGTCCCTCACATTCCCTCCCTTTCCTGGCTCTGGGGGTGGGTCCTGGTAAACAATAAACTTTGGTCTCTATACATTTACCTATTCTAGATATTTCATATAAGTGAGATCATATAATATTTGTGCTTTGTGATTGGCTTATTTCACTCAGCATAATGTTTTCAAGGTTCATTTGTATTGTAGCATGTATCAGCACTTCGTTTCTCTTTATGGCTGAGTAATGCTCCTTTGTATGTATATGTCACATTTTGTTTATCCATTCATCTATTGATAGACACAGGTTCTTTCTACATTTTGGCTATTATCAATGATGGTACAATGAACATTGTTGTAAACATATCTGTTTGCATCACAGCTTTTCACATCTCTTAGGTATGAGTGAAATTGCTGAGTCATATGGGAGTTCTATGTTTAACTTTTTGAGGAACCACCAAACTGTTTTCCACAGTGGCTATACCTTTTTGCATTTCTACCAGCAATGACTATGTTTCCAATTTTTCCACATCTCTGCCAACATTTGTAGTTTTCTTTTCTTTTTTTGATTTTCACTTTAGCCATCTTGTTGTTGTTGTGTTGTTATGTGCCATCGAGTCAGACCTGACTCATTGCGACCCCTCCTTGGGTTTCTGAGGTGGTATCACTACGGAAATAGATTGCCCAACCTTCTTTCCAAGGAGTGGCTGGTGGGTTTGAACTGCCAGATTTCTGGTTAGCAGTCAAGTGCCTTAGGCACTATGCTACCAGAGCTCCTTTAGCCATCTTGTTGTTGTTGTTGTTATGTGCCATCCAGTCAAACCCGACTCATAGCGACCCCCCTTGAGTTTCCGAGGCAGTATCACTACGGAAGTAGGATTGCCCAACCTTCCTTCCGAGGAGTGGCTGGTGGGTTTGAACCGCCAGCCGTCTGGTTAGCAAGCATCTTAGCCACTATGCTACCAGAGCTCCCTTAGCCATCTTAGTAAGGGTGAAATGGTACCTCATTGTAGTTTTGATTTGCATATCCCTAATGGATAATCAGGGGAGGGGAGCCTGGAAGGGCAATGGTTAAGCAATTGACTGCTAACTGAAAAGTCAGTGGTTCAAACGAGTGGTTCCATGGGAGAAAAGACCTGTTGATCTGCCCATATAAAAATTTAGAGCCTACAAACCTATAGGGCACTTCTATTCAGTCCTTATTGGTCATTGTGACTCAGAATTGGCACACACCACCACCAATGGCTAATGGTGTTGAGTATTTTTTCATGTGCTTGTTAGCCATTTGTATTATCTCCTTTGGTGAAATGTCTATTCAAATCTTTTGCCTGTGTTCTGATTGGGTTATGCATCTTTTCGTTAAATTGTAGGAGTTTTTGTATATTTTGAATATTAAGCCCTTTTGTGACAAATTGTTCCCAAAATCTTTCTCTCACTCTAGAGATTATCTCTTCACCCTGCTGTTAAAGTCCTCTGTTGAATGAAAGTTTTTTATTTTGATGAAGTTCATTTTATCTATTCTGTCTTTTTTGGCTAGTGTTTTTGGTGTAGTATCTAAGAATCAATTGTTAAAAACTAGGTCCTGAAGAAATACCCCTAGTTTTCTTCTGGGAGTTTTATAGCTTTAGTTTTTACATTAGGTCCTTGATCCAGTTTGAGTTAATTTTCATATATAGTGTGAGGTATGATTCCAATTTCTTTTCTTTTCTTTTTGCAGATAGATATTCAATTGTCCCAGCATCATTTATTAAAGAGATTATTCTTGCCTCATTGCATGGATTTAGCACCCCTGTCAAAAATCTGTTAACTATAAATGTATGGGTTATTTCTAGACTCTTAATTTTATTCCACTTGTATATAATTATGCCACTGCCAGACTGTTTTTGTAACCGTAGCTTTAAGGTAGTTTGTGGGCAGATACTTAGAGACCATACAAATATCCTGTTCCTTGTTGACTGATGCTTATTAAATTTTTAAAAAATATATTGTGACTTTTTAATTTGATCATTCTGTTTACATTTATCAGCTAGCACTCTGTTGAAAGTGATTCCTCCCTCCCTCCTTTTCATCATCCCTAACCTGCTTCTTTCTCTTCTTACTTTAAAGTATATATACTTTATACTTTGAACAACACTATGAACCAACTAGATCTAACATACATTACTAGACCACTTCACCCAACAAGAGAATACACATTCTTCTCCAGAGTATATGGATCATTCTCCAGGACATACCATATATTAGGTCACAAAACAGGTCTCGATATGTTTAAAAAACTGAAATCATACAACCTACCTTGTCTGACCACAAGGGAATAAAATTAGAAATTAATAGAAGAGGAAAATTAGAAATTAATAGAAGAGGAAAATTAGAAAACACATACATATGTGGAAATTAAACAGTATAATATTAAACAACCAATGTGTCAAGGAACAAATTAAAAAAACAAAAACAAAAATCCTTAGATTAAAATGAAAAGAAAACACAACATGCCAAAATCTATGGGATACAGTGAATACAATGGTCAGCTGGAAATTTATAGCTGTAAACACTTACATTAAAAAAGAAAAAAGATCTCAAACCAATAGGCTATCTTTACAACTTGAGAAACTAGAAAAAGAAGAGCGAACTATGCTTAAATCTACCAGAAGGAAATAATAATGATCAGTGCAGAAATAAATGAAATAGAGAATAGATAAACAGTAGAGAGAATAAAAAACAGAAATTGGTTCTTACATAAAGATCAATATAACTGACAAACTTTAAACTGACAAAGAAAAAAGAGGGAGAAGGTGCAATTAACAAAAATAACAAATGAAGTGAAAAGTGAAGACTCTTAACTGATCTGGTAAAAATAAAAAGAGTCATAACAGAATGTGATGAACAATTCTATGTCAACAAACTAACTTAGATAAAATGGACAAGTTCCTAGAAACACATAATCTACCTGAATTGATTCTAGAAGAAATAGAAAATCTCAACCCGTAACAAGTGAAGATATTGAATCATTATTCAAAAGCTTGCTCATAAAAAAAAAAAGTCATGGGCTAGATGGCTTCACTGAGGAATTCTGCCAAACATTTAAAGAACAATTGGCATCAAACCTGACCAAACTCTTCCAAAAACTAGATAAATTAGGGACATTTCTTAGCTCATTCTATCAAGCTAGCATTATTCTGTTCTTACAGGACAGAAGGATAGAACTGAGTTTTAATAGATTTTAAACTATAAAACAGACCCTGATGATGAAAAGAAATCTTAATTTTTTAAAAAAAATCATCTTAGAGCCATGTATTTAAAGGAGTTTATTATAACATACAACACTAATTAAAATGTATTGAGCACATATCATGTGCAGGCATAGTACCAAGCACAGTGCTAAGCACTTATATGATGTACCTCATTCAATCCGTACCTCCTTTCACCACAGTAGTGTTTTTCTCCCATTTTATAGCAGCAAACTAAAGCTCAAGGTAACTCAACTAGTAAATGGTATAGCCAGGATTCAATCATGGCCAATTTTCAGGTTCTGAACCTCTTAACCACTGTGCATTCTGTCCTTAAAATATTAAAGTCAAGACACAAATAAAAACTAAAGGAACTGTTCCAGATTAAAAAAGACTAAAGGAACATAACGGCTAAATTCAGTGCATGATCTTAGATTTAACAATAGTTTGAGAGGAAAAAACATCTATAAGGGACATTTTACTACAAACACAACTTGAGTAAGGATTATGAATCAGGTAATAGGTAGTATCAAATTCTTTGCTTTTCATAATTCTTTGCTTTTGTTTGGCCATATAATGTTCAAGCTTTAGGGAATACATACTGAAGTATTTATGGCTAAAAGAATATTATGTTTATAATTTCCTCTTACACAGTTCAGAAACAAATAATAATATGTTTGTGATATAAATATATGTACATATGAACATAGAGATGATGGTACAGTAAAAGAACAGTGTATAAATAATTGGTGAATCTGTTGTTGTTGTTATGTGCTGTCAAGTCGGCCCCGACTCATAGCGACCCCTCCTTGGGTTTCCGAGGCAGTATCACTACGGAAGTAGATTGCCCCATCTTCCTTCTGAGGAATGGCTGGTGGGTTTGAACAGCCAGCCTTCTGGTTAGCAGTCAAGTGCCTTAGGCACTATGCTACCAGAGCTCCTTTGGTGAATCTCGGCAAGGCTTATATAAATTCCTTCTACAATTCCTTCAATTTTTCTGTAAATTTAAATTGATAGAAAATTTTTAAAAAGTTTTTTAAAACTGTGTTATACAAAAGGGAGCTCTGGTGGTACAGTGCCTAAGGCATTTGACTGTTTACCAGAAGGCTGGCAGTTCAAACCTAGGAGCCACTCCTCAGAAGGAAGATTGGGCAATCTACTTCTGTATAGATAATGCTTCGAAAACCCAAGGAGGTGTCACTCTGAGTCAGGAATGACTTGATGGCAGTGAATTTATTATACAAAAAGCTTTGACAATAATCAAAGGCAATTAGTAGAAAAATGGGCAAATAATAGACATAGATAATTCACAGAGGAAATTAAAATAGACAATAATCCTGTATGGTTATTTCTCATTAATGTAGACAATATTCAGTGAATATGAAAAAAAAGGGAAAAATCTAGCATGGCTAAGATGCTGAAGACAGACATTTGCTACCAGAAATATGAACTACAGTTATTTTGGAAAATAATCTGGCAATATCTATTTAAATTAATATACAATGATATATATATATGCACATAAAATGATGTGTATTGCAACTACTGCTTGATAGTAGCAAAAATTTAGAAAATTTGAGAAAGACAGAAATGACATTCAATAGGGAAATAGTTGAATAATTTATGGCACATCTACATTATAGAATATTATGCAGATTTTAAAAATCTGAGAGATGAAAGTTGAAAGTATCTGTATCTATGTCTCTGGGTCAGAGGTAAGGAAGACTCATGATGTATAGTTAAATGAAAGATACAAGTTACTGAATAATGGGCAGCACATGATCTTATTAGTGCAGAACCATAAAACTCCTCTATAATTACATATTTGTTTTTATACATGCTTCAAGAAAGGTCTGAAAGATTATACTTGGATCATAACATTAGTTTCCTTGGGGAGGGAGCTCATAGGTGTGAGGGGATTGGTAAATAAAGATAGTGGAAGTAGAATATAAAATTTTACTTCATATATCTTTATATTGATTCTTTTACCTGTATGCACTTTTTGTCTAGGTGTAGCTCTCACAGTAGGCAGATTATCTGAAAATTCAACAACTTTTTGGCTTAAGGTCACACTTTTTGGCCACACTAAAATAAATGAGAATAGTGTAATTAATCATGCTAGATATTAACTGATACCAATTTTTGAAAAGCTAAAATAAATCTTATGCTATTTCTAAAGCACAGCTTCCTTCTAAAGTTTCTCAATAATTTACATAAGTCAGCTTAACTTAACATAAATATTTTCTCTCTGATATTCCTTGCTTGGTCTTTGGTATTTGTAAACATAAGCACTTAGTACAAATCAGAAAATCAAATAGAAATACCATATAAAACAGAGAAAGAGCTTTGTTAATAAAAACCAAACCAATCCTGTTGCTTTTGAGTTGATTTCGACTCATAGTGATGCTATGGGACAGAGTAGAACTGCCTCATAGGGTTTCTGAGGCTGTAAACTTTACGGAAGCAAACTGCCTCATCATTCTCCTATGAAGAAGCTGGTGGGTTCAGACTGCTGACCTTCTGATTAGCAGCTGAATGCTTTAACACTGCATCACCCAGACTTCTTTTGTTAACAATCAAAACCAAAAACCAAACTCACTGCTGTTGAGTCGGATCTGACTCATAGTGACCCTTCCTTGGGTTTCCAAGGTGTTATCACTATGAGAGTAGATTGCCCAAACTTCCTTCTGAGGAGTGGTTGGTGGGTTTGAACCGCCAGCCTTCTGCTTAGCAGTCAAATGCCTTAGGCACTATGCCATCAGAGCTCCCCTTGTTAACAAGAGGACAATTAAAAAAAAATTACTTGAGCAATTAAATTGTCAAAGAAGATATACTTACATCCTTATCTTTAGAAAAAACATTTATATTTTCATAGTGAAAAATCTTGGGCTAGAATAGAGAGATGTTTGGAAATGCTATCATAAACACACACATTTTTAACACTGTTAAAAAACAAAACTATATAATAATAAAAGTAGCCTCAATATCTGCTTATTTTGAGAAACTGCTAAAATGAAAAATAGAAAGTGAGATATTCTGTTATATAAACTTTATATTAATATGTTGAAATTTCAGTGTATTTCTTGCACAGAAATGAAACTATCACTTCTCCATTTTCATAAGCCAAGTGTTTGAAAAATGGGTAATTCCTGTTATTTCTAGATTCTAAGACTTGATGTTTTGATGAAAAATAAACATTTAAGATACCATTTTTTTTTCTATTCAATTTACAAAAAGTAGAGTAAAAATTTGGATAGTGGACCATTTACTAGTTTTCATTCTCTTCCTCTTCATTGTTTCTTTCAACAATATTACTGCTTACAATTGATAGACTATTAGAGATAGGACTTTAGTTTTGAAGAAGAATCCCAAATTATAGGTAAAAAGTAGGATCTACATTAATGGAAAGCAGCATTACATTTGATCATGTGATATGAAGTAGCAGGTAAACTATCAAATTGTCTAAAATATACTTAAATATCATTGATTTCATTGTCTTGGAGTTAGTAGGAAGAAGAGCATAGCCTATTTCAACAAAAAGTGCATATTAGAGTTAATTTGGGAGCTCTGGTAGCGTAGTGCTGAAGGCACTTGCCTGCTAACCAGAAGGCTGGCAGTTCAAACCCACCAGCCATTCTTCAGAAGGAAGATGGGGCCATCTACTTCTGTAGTGATACTGCCTTGGAAAACCAAGGAGGGGTCGCTATGAGTTGGGTCCGACTCAACAGCACATAACAACAACAACAACATATCATACATAATTTACTATTTATCTTATTTATTGTCTACATTCTAATAGAACAAAAACTTCAGAAGAACAAGGTTTTTTGTTTTTGCATTTTTTCAGTTTTACTAATTGCTTCATCTCCAGCATCTAGTCAGTAGGTGACACACAGAAATACTAAGACAAATGAACACAAGAACAACAAAAAATAACCTGCTGAATTAATGAATCCATGGATTTTAGTAATTTATTTGATGTGCTATAGCCAATTACTATAGATAATCAAGTTTCACTTACAAGAAGTCCCTAAATTGTTCCACGAGTTTATAAGTCAGTCATAATAGAACTCAGATTGCTATTAAAACAGTGCTATATATACTGGTTTAGTTTATGTAAGAGCCAACAGTATATTTGAAGTAAAGATGCTAGCACAAATAAAAGGCCAGCATAATGGGTTAATTATCCTATGTGACCATATTTATGAAAATACATTATTCACAGTTTCAAGGTGGGATAGTGTGTTAGGACTACTTCTCCCTTAGTTTCTAGCTGAACCTCTGTCTTAGTTATCTAGTGCTACTATTGCAGAAATACCACAATAGATGGCTTTAACAAACAGAAATTTATTCTCTCACAGTTTAAGACACTAGAAGTCCAAATTCTGGGTGCTAAATCTAGGGTAAGCTTTCTCTCTCTGTCAGCTCTGGGGGAAGATACTTGTCTCCTTTCAACATCTGTGAGCCTAGTGTTCCTTGAATATCTCCATGTGTCTTGGCATCAATCTTCCCCTGGGTCTAGGAGCTTCTCGACACAGGGATCCCAGGTCTATCGGAGGCAATCTGCTCTCAGCTCCTCTTCCACGGTGGTAGGAGGTCCCTCTGATCCCTGCTTGCATATTTGACCTCTTTTATATCTCAAAAGAGACTGACTCAAGATATAACCTAGTCCTATAGATTGCATCCTTCCTCATTAACATAACTGCCACTAATGCGGCCTCATTAACATGCTGGTGGTAAATATTTACAAAACATAGGATAATTAAATAATACTGA